CTCTCCCAAATAAATATATTTGGGATTGCCAGGCAAACTTCGAAACAAAATTTCATCTTTTTAAACGTAGTCACATTGATTGCTGCTTATATATGAAGTCAAGAACAGTGACAATACAGTGACTGACTTTGAAAAATTGAATAAGTCCCACTCCGAAATTGAAAAATAAGAAGAAAAAGGAAATCAAAAGCCTGGTTTGAACAAGATTGTTACTTAAGATGAAAATTTCACAAAAAAAAAATAAAATAAAAAAATAACTAAGCTTAAAATAAAATAAAAAATGACCTGCTAAAAGAACTTAAACATTCTAAAACAGACTCAACAAATGTTGTAAAATCTTACGAGATATTAATAATGAGATCCCTCGTTTTTATTGCAATATAAAACCAAATGAAAGGTTAAGTTAATTGAAAAATATATTCAACAGTAGTAGCACACAGGATCCATACACTTGTAACATGCTCTGTGAAGGTGTCAGCATCTTTTATTCTATGTCTGTGCCATATCACCTCAAATCCTGTAAATAGAAGTGTGCATAGAATCATGGGAAGAAATGGCGTGCATTGCCGTGTGATAACTGTCATATTTGTCACAGGTCATACTTGTTTACCACTGTGGAAGGACAATTAGAATCTACCAGGTGTGCTTGTGATTTACATAACAACAGATGTTTACAATCTACTACGATCTGTGATTGACTGTCATCCATCTCCACATCCTGGAACTGTGAGTTATCACCAATGCACACTTCCCCAGGCAATCCCCATTTTAGTGACTTTATTCATTGTATTTTATTTCTTGTAATTATTTTGAGAGGTATAAAAGCCAAGTACTTTAACTTGATATTTTGGTGTATGTGTATTTCATTACCAGTACTATTGTCTTGTCTACCCCATTCTAGCAGTGAAAGAACCCCGTGTACAGTGCGAGATCTGTGGGTGGCCCTCTCAATAGACCATTTTCCGTACACTGCGAGAATCACGCGTTATGCGTGAAATCGAACGTAAAAACAGGACAAACAAAGGTCATAGCGTCGTAGTGGCGTCAAACATCGCGTGAGATTCGATAAACGCGAAAGTATTTGGGGGACATTTCCATGCTTAATAATGTGCTGTCCACATTTGATGATAGGCAATTTCGATTAAGTAAGGGTATTCGGAAGCAATATTCCTCTGTCGAAGATCGGCCGGTCGGTGTGAGCTACGAAATAAGGAAATTAGAGTTCAAAATCAAATCGTTCGATTTTTGCGGCAGACGTTCGACGCGAGTCTTTCATGCATCTCGCGAGATCTCGCAATTGTACGGAAAATCACCTATTGCAATAAGCAGGCTTTACACTGTGACAGAATGAATTAATGCTACCCGTAATAACACTTTAGATCTTCCGTTAATATTTTTAAAATGACAGCTCAGTTGAGGATACGATCTGCAATAAAATGCAGCATTTGTGTTGATAAACATTGATTTCCCCGCAATCCAATCCGCTGTTCAAATGGAAATCAAGTATGAGGTTTGATCTGGGCGCGACTTGCACTGATTACCGCCGGTGACTCCTTCGATACCTTCCAATCACCTAAACAATACCTAATTAAAGCTTGAAAACGTGTCAGTTCGTACTCGTTGATCTGCGCAACAGTCAAAGTCGCCATCTTTGTTTATATGAGACCCATATATCTCGCACATGCGCAGCGCGACGACTACCGCGCTTTAACATTTTTAATTACTCAGGTACTTTCTGTGAACATTGGCCTATTTTCAAGTCTGTATCCAAATCAGACCCTTCAAACTACAGAGGAATTCTAGTGCAAATTATTCACAAGTATCTTGAATAACAGGCTTACAGTCATTCTTAGAACGACATTCTTACAAGTTATCACGTTTATTATAATTTCAGTTATTCTATATTTGGTGATTTTTATTCAATTATTCAGAAACAAATATAATGTACTATACATTATGGTTTATAGATTAAATCATAATAAATTGTCACATTGTCTAACAACTGTTACTATAGAGGGTACGTCCATGGAGTGGTTCGAGTGGTCGGAAGTTGTCCACTATCTTATGACGGGATTCATCTCTCAAATCACGGAACATTTTCAACTGTGAAACAAGAAAAATACATTCTTCATTACATATGGCATTCATTTATTCATTTATTAGAGTACAAATATTAGAAATATCTTTGGAGCCAGAGGTCAATCATAGGGTATTCTTTACTATATTGTTGTTTGAATAACGAAAAACAAAATGCAATTAGGTCATCAAGGGCAAGGCTGTTAACCTTGAGCTTTGACATACAGTGCGATGTTGGATTGCGTGATGCATACAGGTTTATATGTGTGTAGCATGTAACAAAATCTGTTGTTAATGGGGCTTTAGCATTACTATGACCAAATCATAAGAAATATTGTTTATTCCGAACTGAAGGTCAAATCAATGACACACTGACGAATACATATAAAAATACTTCACCTGATTTTCCGACATATGAATAGTGTCTTTGAAGTTAGTCCAAATGACACCTTCTGAACATGGTGGTGTGGTCAGAGAACCGTCATAACGGAAGAAATTGGATCTGCTTGCTGGCAATAGGGATTCAATGTTGATTGGTGGACTAATCTGAACACTTGAACCTGAAACGTATATAGTTGAATGTTAATGTGACGTCATTGCAATTGTCCATTGTCCGAATGCTCTGTGAAAATGGGAAGCTATGTGTAAGAACCAATTATAACACACGTGTCTTGTATTATA